TTCATTCTGGGAAGTAACAGCCTGCACAGACTCACGCCTCTATCCCTCTGGCCACGGGTGGCCTACCAGGGTCCTAGGACTGTCCCGGAGGAAGCAGAGCACCCCCGGTGCCTCCCCTGGGCAGCGCCCACCCCAAGACCAGAAGCCTCAGGCTCCAGCCTGCTCCCTTCTCCACGCAGTCCACCTTCTCAGGCCTTCTCCATGCCCGTGTCTGACATCCCTTACAGAGGTTTTACACCCCGTCCCAGAAGGTAGGTGAGGCTGACGGGCAGGTGGGGAGGCCTCTTTTCCCAGGAGGTGAGACAAATCCAGTGCTGGGCCCACCCATCCATCTGATGGCTCAAGAAGGGAGGGTCTCCAACAATCCTTCTGAGATGAAACAGGAAACTGCGGCTCTTGAGCCCTAAGTGGCTCTCCCAGTGCACTATACGACTCTGAAGTCAAACAGAAACATTGCAAAGGGCACTATTCAGATCATGGTGATTTCATTTATTTGTAAAAATATGTCTATGGCTTTCGAATAATTTTTTAATTGTTGTGAAGGACAGGATGAGCTCTTCTGTCTCCAAAGTTTGCCGACCCCTGAGCTAGGCAATGAGGAAAGTTGGTGGCATCGATCGGGCATCTACTATATTGCCTTGTTTCATCCTCTCCTCGGTTTTCTCATCCTCCCCCTTTCTCAGATAAAGAAACAGAGGCTCAGAGAGGTAAAGGGCTTGCCCAGGTCACAGCTGGAGAGGAGGAGAGCCAGAATTCAAACTCCAGTCTGAAGGCCAAACCCAACCTGTTAGCGCTGGACCAGGCACAGGAAGCCAGGCCCCTGGTCTTGAAGGGTGTGTGTGTGTGTGTGTGTGTTGGGGTGGGGGTGTCTCAAGGTCTTTCAGGTCAGCCCCTGCCTTTCCCAGAAGCCAAACCCCAGGGCTTGGGGCCAGGACCACAGAGCTGCTTCCAGCAATGCCGCACCGATCCTGAGTCTGGGGTTCATTAGCGCACGTTCCCCCAATTAAAAGCAGAAAGGAAGAAGATGCAGTATTCAATCAAGGTCCTTTCTCTTTCTCCCGCAGAATCCTAATTTGTGGACACCGCTTTTAATTGTCTTCCCAGAGAGCCCAGCCCTGCTTGGCCCCTGGGGCTGGAGAACAGAATTGCATCTTCCCCAGAAATCCATAATGACACCAGCCGGTCCGGGGACTGCCGTGAGATGTTACCTGAGTGGGGTGGGACGACTTGGGGGTGGGAGGAAGGCAGAGAGGAGAGATGGCTTTTGAGGTGAATGTAGAGATTGGGGGTCTGGTTGGCTGGAGGGAAGACGCAGGAGGCAGGAAGAAGGGCCGCAGGAGGAATGTATAGCTCCTCTAGAACTGGCTTCCATTTTAATGACTTACTTGCTGTGTGGTGCTGGGCACTTCACTTAGCCTCTCTGAGCCTCAACTTCCTGATCGGAAAAGAATGGGGGACCAATAATGATTATACCTTCCCCGTAGAGCTGCACTTTGGGAATAAGAAAATGTATGTCAAGGGCTTGCCACAGTGCCTGACTCATAGCAAGCACTCTATTTTTCTTTGTTATGATATTTTTATCATATTTTGCTTTCAAATATGGGGATCACTTTCCAATTTCTGGTACTCAGTCAGGGCCCTCGCGGTCAGGGAGAGAGGAAGAAGTTCTTACCAAATATCTCCACAGTCAGCAGCTCAGAACCATCAGCAGCGCCCAGAGAAGCAGATGAGGCTTTGTACTCCCATAAAGACTTGCCGCCTTGGAACCCACAAGTGGCAGATCTGCTCTGTCCTTGAGGGTCGCTGAGTCAGAATAGACTCGATGACAGTGAGTTTGGTTTTATCTTTAGTGTAGAGATTCATAGAGAGATAGGGTCGCTAGGAGTCGGAATCAACCCGGTAGCAGCGGAGTTTGAGTCTAGCCTTCAGAGGAGGAGCGCTGATGGGGTAGGAGGTAACTTGGTCGCCTGCTAACCAGCCAGCAGGTCAGCAGGTCACATCAGGTGGGTGCATACCTTTCTTTCTTTCTTTGTCCCAGAGAGAAAGATGAGGCTTTCTTTGTCCCAGAGAGAAAGATGAGGCTTTCTGGCCCCTTAAAGATGTAGCCTCTCAGAAACCCTGTCCTGTCGGGTCCGTATGAGCTGGAGTCAGCTTGATGACAGTGTTTGTTTGCTTGGCTTTCTTCTTTAGTGGAATGGGAGGAATGAGACCAGGGGTGTTTCTGGAAGGATGCAGAAGTGTGTCTCCTCAGCAGGGCTGATAGGCCCTGGGTCTCTGCCACAGTTGTCAGTGCGGGGCTCCAGAGCTGGTCTGTATAGATCCTGGGCCAACTATGTTGCTTTCCGGTATCTCCAGCCCCTCATCTGTCTAATGGGTTAGAGTGTATTAGCGATAGTGTCTACGAAGTACCAGGTATGAACAGATGTTCAATAAACCAACTGGGTTTGTGTGTTTTAATAAGCTTCCCAGTTTTCTCCCTCCTACCTGTGCTCATACCCGTCTGCTCGACAACATATCTCACTCCTGTCGTCTGCCTACAACATCCACCCCATCCTTCAAGGCCAGGCTGATGTGGCCCCCCTCCCTGAAGCCTTCCAGGATTCCCTTCTTCCCCCAAGTAGAGACAACCCCTCCCCTTCTCAGCCTCTGGGGGACATTGCCTTTATGAGGACCATCAAGTTCTCCTTCAGGGTATCTGACTTAGTGGGGCGCCCATTGTACAGAGGAGCACACTGAGGTTCAGAGAGGGGGCGAGAGTCTCCCACGTTCTCATAGCATGTCAGCGAGCAGAAAGAAGCTCAGTAAGTCCCCTGGCGCCCAGGCCAGTCCCCCACCCCCACCCCAAGCATACTCTGACTACTTCCTCTTGAGGCTCCTTGGGACAGGGCCAGCTGGTCTCTGGGTCTCTCTAGTTAGATCAGGAGACTCAGACCCACTGTGAACCGCCTAAGTCTGGAGACCTCTCTTGCCTGTGGACCCACTGTCCCATTCACCCCAGGGAGAGCTGGGAGTTGGACCTGCAAGGAACGCACCTGGTTCCCAGGAAGCCGTGGAAGCCAGATTCTCTCTCCCCGCCCTGCCCCACCCATACACAGGTAGAAGGATGTGCAGGCTACACTTCAAGGCTACTGGACCCCTCCTGAGCTGGGGCAGGAGGAACACCTCTCTGGCCAGCATCTCCTGATTGCCTCAGGCTGGGTGACCACTCCTCTGGGCCCACCCTGCCCCCACTTTAGGCAGCTGATGTGTACACCCACCTGACAGCCGGCTCTGCCCTCATTAAAACGACCTTCATTCTGATTCCCCAGCTGTGTTGCAGCCCCCAGAGAACCTGAGGTCACCTTTGCGCCCAGGGTCAGTGTTGTCCCCTCGTAGTCCAGAAGGCTGCTGCTCTGCAGGGCCCCTTACTGAAAGGGCAGACGCTTTCCTACTCTGGGTGGGGGCCACGATGGGGAGCTGGTCCATCTCCAGTCCTCCCAAAGCTCTCTGTATCATGGGGCGTGGGGGTTAGCTCCGGGGCACGAGTCCAATCCAGGATCTCCCCTCCAGTCCAGCGCGCCTCCTCCCGGAGGCCCCTGAGGTCGGAGCTGGGGGAGGCATCTCTGGGCTGGTTGGGGTGCCCGGGCCAACTGCAGCAAGAGGGCAGGGGGCTGCGGGCAGGGCGGAGAGCCCGGAAACGTGCCTTGAGTGATCTGCACGGTGCTGTGCTGGCGCCTTTGCAGGGCGAGATAATCTCTCCCAAGAAGAGGAAAGAATTCTAATTACATCTCAGGACAATATTTGTTTGGTGAGACAGAGTGCCGTAACATATGGTGGGGAGGGGCGTTGGGGCCCAGTGGGGGCGGGAACCCTGGGGGGAGAGGGGAACCCCTCGTGGAGCACTCCCCCCCACCCCCACCCCGGCCATTCTCAACCTCCCCAGGGTTTGCGGGTGCAGGAAGCAAGTGTGGGTCCCTGCACACCCCGACCCCCAGCCATTCCACATACAGGGAGCAGCTGCTGTATCCCTGGAGCTCTGGGCCTCACCCACAACACACACGCACATACACGTGCACAGATATACACACAAAGATACACACACGCACAGATACACACACGACGGAGCGGAGACAGTGGGCACAAGGACAAACGATCTTAGAGTGCTGGAGGGCAGGGAGCACAGGTGGTCAAGGAGGGCCCCTCTCTGTTGGGATTTGTTGAAGCTGATCGCTGAGATTCCTGGGTGGCCTAAAAGGGTTACCCTTGACTCTTAAACTAAAGATTGGGTGTTCAAAGGCACCCAGAAGCACCGTGGAAGAAAGGCCCAGAGATGCTATAGCCAAGAGAGCCCCATGGAGTCATTGTACGGGTCACACACTCGGGCGCCATGAGTCAGAGGGGACTTGCTCCAAAGGGAAGACCTGACCCACGGAGAGCACGGCCACGACAAAAGGGATGGAGAGTCCTGTTCCCCGAACCCGAGGAGGTTGGGGTGAGGGGGAAGTGCCCCCTCCCCAGCCACACAACAGGGGAGGCCCAGGGGGCGGGGAATGGGGTGGGTGGTTCTGGATTTTATCCGTGGTCCCTGCCCCTGTGGGGGGGGCTGGAGTGGGTGTGTCCAAGCAGGGGCGTGGTTTGCTTTCTAAAGCTCTCATTGGCCGCCGGTCACTAATCCCGGAGGGAGACTGCCTAGGGTGCCAGCCAACCGATGAGAGGCCAGCCTCCTCTCTGGGGTCCTGGCCCCTCCGTCTGTCACGCACTCCCCCGCTCCCATGGGATCCACGATAGAGGCCCAGCTCCTTGACACCCAAACCCACACCTGCACCTCCTGTGCCCGCTGTTCCTGCCTGACAGCGCTTTTCCAGGTGACCCCCAAAGCCAGCCCGTCCACCCCTGCCACTCCTCCAGGACTACCCTTTCTACCTTCACCGTGCAGCCCCACTGCTGCTGCCTCCCACTTTCCTCCCCCACCCTTGTCCTTTTCAAATGGGGGGTGGCGGTGGCCCTGCCGTCTCCTGAGCCTGGGACACCCTCCCATCTCTCCACCCAGCTCTGTTCACAGAGACGCCGCATGACATGACGGCGCGGACGGGCGAGGACGTGGAGATGGCTTGCTCCTTCCGGGGCAGTGGCTCCCCCTCCTACTCGCTGGAGATCCAGTGGTGGTACGTGCGCAGCCACAGGGACTGGACCGACAAGCAGGCTTGGGGCTCGAACCAGGTAACGCCCGGGACATGTGACCGCAAGTGGGGTTTTCCCTCAGGTCTTGGGAGGGACCCAGGCTCCCACTCTGTTCCGCATCACCTAGCTGACACCGCCCTCCCAACCCCTCCTGGAGTCGTAGTCGGGGATTTAAGGAAGGGGTGACTGAGGCCATCTTCCCCTAAATAAAGGCTTCTTGGGGGGCACACGATGCGGAGTGAACACCCAACATTGCCAGACCCAGATGGGCCCTGGAAGAACAGCAGGAGTGTTGACCCCAGGTCTGTGGGAGCCAGTGGGTCTCTGAACAACACGGCTCCCCACCCCTCACCTGAGATCCCTCAAGGGCGCTCTTCGCTGGCCCCCAGAGTGCCCACAGTGGTAACGGCTTACCAGCCCCTTCCTGGTGCCTCTCCTTGTTGGTATCCACTCACCGCCTCCTCTTCCGAAGTGCCCAGAGGTCACCGCCCAAATAAATGACTTGCACAGGAATCTGCCCCACGGTCCCCTTCTGGGTAAAACCAAAGTAAGACCCGTGTGTTCTTATCCACGCGTCCTTGTTAGATGCCATCAAGCTGATCTGACACATAGCACCCCTCTGCACAACAGGACAAGGGCCTCCCCCAGCCCCCCACCATCCTTGTCACTCCTGATGACGTATCCAAAGTACATGGGATGACGTCTCCCCTTCCTCGTGTGGAAGGAACGTTCTGGCTGTAGTCCAAGACAAACTCCTTCTGATAGCCCACAGTCGATTCCATATTCCTTGCCAGCTTTTTGCACCAGCTCATCAACACGCCCCGTCTTCAGTGGTCCTCCCTTATCCATGGGCCAGCTTTCCCATGCCTACAAGGCCATGGAATTTGACCATGGTTTGGGTTGGGTGCACCTGAGTCCTCCAAGTGGCATAATTGCTTTTGAACACTTTACAGAGGCTGTGTGCAGCACGTCTGCCCAGGGCAATCTGTCATTTGATGACTGCTGCTTCATGGATGCTGGTTGCACACACGTGTTATACCCAGTCATACACATATTTGCACACCCATTCACACATACATACACACCTCCACAGACACACAGGGATATGCTCACATATTCCTGCATGTGCATTCAGTAGTCTCTAATTGCATGGTCAGCAGTTCAGACCACACACACACACACACACACACACACACACACACACACCCTTGGGAGAAAGATGAGGCTGTATGTTCCTGTAAAAATTTATAACCTCAGACAACCCCAGGAGTGGCTCTGCTCTGTCCTGTATGATAGCTGAGTCGGAATCGATCCACTGGATGGCACTGAGTTGGAGTTTAACAGCTCCCAGGAGCACTGGTGGCACAACAATTAAGCACTCGTCTGCTAGCTGAAAGGCTGGCCGGTCAACCCCACCCCAGCAGCCCTGTGGGAGAAAGGCCTGGCAGTCTGCTCTTTAAGGACAGACACTTTTCTCTGGGGCAGTGTTTACTCTGCCACACGGGGTCGCTGTGAGCTGGAATCACTTCAGCAGCGCACAACAAGGAGTCCTGAGGGCTTCTCTGCTGACTGAAGGGTTGGCAGTTTGAACCCACCAGCCAGCCCAGGGAGAGCCATGTGGCAGGCTGCTTCAGATCCCATCCCGGGAATCCCCCTGGGTTGTTCTAGACCAGCAGTTCTCAACCAGTGAGTTGCAACCCCTGTGGGGGGGTCTTATGACCCTTTCACAGGGGTCGCCCGATTCATAACAGTAGCAAAATGACAGTTTTGAGGTAGCATTGAAAATAGTGTTATGGTTGGGGGTCACCACTACATGAGGAACTGTATGAAAGGGTCGCGGCATGACTCAAGTACTCCCTCAACACAAGAATACTTTCTTCTATTAAATTGGCATTCTATGATGCTCACCTTCCCGACACAACCGCTGAAGACAAAGTG